GCTGAGTGGGGAATATCTGTTAGATACGTGAACGGGTTGGTGGGGACCTGCGGGTTTCGCGTTATGCCCCTTCTGAACAGTCACCCAATCTCCCTGCTGCTCGGGAGTTGCCGGGGGACGGCTAAGAGGAGCTACCTTTTGCCGGTCCGCACCGGCTAACATGGGCTTTACTGTAGCTGAGTTATTTTCTAAGATGCGGAGCCGGGCTTCTATGGCTATGATTCCCGCCTCCAACCTAACAACTATACTACATTTAACACATGTATCAGTACCAGTAAAGGAGGTAGGGAAGTAACCAAACATGAGACAGTTAGAGCAGGAAATAGCCCCCGAGGATGGGGAAAGAGCCATGGCTAGCTATCAAGCTAAAGTAGCTACCGTTAGCAAACCCTAAAAGAGTGTAGGCAACTGTGGAGTTACAGTCGCTAAGAGAAGGAGAGTTGTGAGTGCTTAAGCTGTAGTAACGTGTGATTACAACGTCAGGCAGTTGCCGTGATCAAGAGTTTTAAAACGATCGATTAAGTTAAGATAATAAGCTATCAGCAACAGAACAGGCACACGGGATACCCGGAGATGACAACAACAACAACCGGAAGTTACAACATGCTTACCGCAATAGTGGTCCGTGTAGAAACAACTGCCTTTAATTTGGCAAACAATCATGGGGTCTCTCAATCAAGAAATGACAGAAGAAAGGTCTTGATGACATTGTAAAAGTAACACGCAATCCAAAGTGTGGGGGTTGTCTGTGAAAAAAATAACTATTATTGCCAATAACTATTGATTGTGACTCAGGAAGAAATCAAGTTCTCAGATAAGGTCACGTATAACATCTTTATTCTAACTTGCCCTTATTAGTTACAATTATGCAAAACCAACCAAAATAAATATGTATTTTTTTGGCATACCTTTTTTGATTAAGGATGTGTCATGGATTGTATCCAAAATAATGACAGAAGATGATTTCAGTTTTTTTTTTTATAGCTATCATGTCATGTGACCGTGTGATTCCAAATCCAAACCAGATGTGGTACTGCAAGACAATTAAGACATGGGCATATTTGATTTTAGTCCTTCTTCTATGCTATAAAAATATTGTTATGAATATTAAGCAGTTTCTTAATTGAAAAGTATAATTTATTTTATAATAGTTTTCATGTCAGACTTTGAATCCATACTAGAGATTGTTACTGCCCTGCTGAATAAATAACAGCTTGGACCAGTTAAAGATTGTAGCTGGTTGAAGCTGGTCTGCCAGCCTGGCCCATGGACTCATTAGCCCGGCCCGACCTATTATACATCCATGGCATGGGCCTGACCAGACTGAGTTACGTAACAAGAAAACAGCTCCACTTCCGCCTAGTCACACTTTGCGACAAGTCGTCAGAAGAAATCGACAGCCAGTCGAGACCTATGGCTCCCGTCGCCCAGCGTCAACTGTATTAAAAACTGTTTTAATTATACTACACATTTATTGGAGTGGTGCTATGTCTTCGGGGATGACGGGACGCACACCGTAAGTTTTTGTTTGCTTTTTTAAATATATTGTGCAACTTGAGTAACACGAGATAACGCCACCCGCACTGCCTATGTGTAGCAGTAAGCTAGCCAGCCAAGCTAGCTGCGTTGTTGAGGCCTGCTGTTAGCACACGGGCTATCACTTATGGGCGTAAAACTCAATACGAGTTGACTCTCAGGGTGTATGTTACAAGGTTACTCGAGCTCTACTGGCTTGAATATATATTTTTTTTTTGCAAAAGTCCAAATAAACAGGATCGGAACTTGCTAACTGAGGTAGCTCAACCTTAGCATTAGTATCAGTTACAGCTAGCTAACTTTGGCTGTTGCTGCCTTATCTGAAAATAAACTGTTAAAACACGCAACGCATGTTCATCAGGCGCAAAACACACTCTGTGCTTTTAGCTTAATCGAACCGACAATTGGTTTACCACCAGGCTCCTTAAAACTCCACTATTTCCTATTTACCTTCGTCTGGAGCTTTGTACCGCTTCAACCGCTATCATCACGTTACCAGCGCCATTTGAATCAAATTATTAGATTATTCTTGGGGAATATTTTACGTGTTACGTGACCAATTATTTACCACAACTATGGAAAAACAATGCAAAACATTTCCCTTAGCCCCTCTACGTAATGGTTACCACTAACTTGACCAGTGTTTTATCCGAGTACTCTCAATGGTGTAGCTTATTACCACTTAAAGATTTAAATGGCAAATACATGTTCCCTTTTTTATGTCGGTTTCCTAAAAGGTTAAAGCTATGTATTAGACATTATTACAAATATGGTTATTATATTTTTTGTTCTCAGGTGCCTAACAAGCCGATGGGATATGACAGCCCAACCTAAACAGAGAAGCAGTGAAAATGCAACCCACTCGCTATCTTTATCTGGAGTCGTCGGCACTGCTGGTTCAAACAGCTCAGCTTCCCTGTCACAACAAGCGGGAGAGAAGCCGGCGCCTCAGGGAGGAGTTGAAATGGCAGCAGCCATGGCTGCTAAAATAAATGCCATGTTGATGGCAAAAGGAAAGCTGTTGACTCCTCCACCATTGCTTGCAAAGGTGCTCATGATTTAGAAATCTGTGGTAAATAACTGTCTTGTTTATTGCGTCATTAGAAGGCTAACCGCTTTCCTTCTCAATTCTTACTTCTTTTAGACGCCTCGAAATATCCATGTGCCAAACTCTACGGAAGAAATGGTGGTCACAGAGGTCGACATAAACGATGTACCAATAAATTGCAGGGAACTTCTTACTAAAGGCAAAACACAGGAAGAGGTAACTAGACAAAGAGCCCATGGTAACTTTGCAGGTGTCACACAAGATAAGTTCAAAAGAAAATGGACAGGCAAAACATCAAGAAACTCTATAAATCCCTCTTAAATCTTAATCAGATATTCTATTCACTTTTCCAGATCCGACAGTTCAGTGGATCAGTTGTCTCAACGAAAGGCCATTACATGTCTGACGGGGAAAAAGGAAAAGCAGGGTCTGTATTTAGACACAGACTTTTTCTGATCCCAATTTAGACTATTTTAATACTTTACACATTGAACAAATGATGTGTTTTCAATGACATTTCTGATTTGCTTACTTTCAGACAAAGGCCTTTGTATTTGCATGTCCAGGGGAAGAACCAAGATCAAGTCAATAGTAAGTAGCACTTTAAAAAAAGAAAGTGCTCTATTTGCTGATTCTGGCATACTCTTCTCATGTAATTCACAAATGTTGAAAGCATTTTAATGCCTGTGGTTTATGACTGATGTCTAACACTTTACTGCAACCCCAGAGGCTGTGCTGAGGATAAAAGAGATCATCTCTGAAGACCTGTTGAGGGCCTTGGCAGCATCAGGAGGACATCAGGTGCCTATAATGCCTCCGCTCACACTCTACCCTCAGCCTCCTCGGCCCGTCATTTCCCCATCTGCACCACGGATGCCAAACACCAACTCAGTGCCAGGACATCGGCCTGCAGCTCCTCATTCAGGGGTAGGCATATAGGACATATAATACAATAATATATTTAAATGTAGCCCTTTACAAATAACAGGGAAACAAGCTCAGGTCTATTGTATTGAATATTGATTGTCATGTGATAGTGTCAGTCAGAACTTTTCAAATGGAGGTTAAGAAAGTGAGGCAAATGAAGACCATGTTGCCTTCACTGATACCCACCTCCCAGATAAAGTAGCAGAGAGAACGTCCCTGGTCTAAAGGGAAAAGCCTTGGATTTCTGCGCCTGCTTACAAATCTTTCTTACAATTATTCAAGCTTTTTTTAGATGTTTTATAAAAAAACAGAATATGCAGGGCACATTAATTTATACCATATTTCCCCACATCATCAGAGTTTTGTGCACACAAAGATTTTTGTGGGTCTGGACCAGGCGTGTCCCTCGTTCAACGTGAATGAAAAGGTGGAGGGTCCAGGAGGATCGTACCTGAGTCACATCCAGGCAGAGACGGGGGCTCGGGTCTTTCTCAGGGGGAAAAGTTCTGGCTACATCGAACAAGCATCCAAACGAGAGTCTTTTGAGCCTCTTTATGTCTACATCAGGTATGTTCTCCCTATTCAAGCTAAAAGAAACAAGACCCATGTTTATTTTGAAGGAAACCACACATAGATTAATTTAGTTTACTAACTTAAACATTTTCACTCAATAACAGACCATGACTTGAGATCAACCCACATTAAATCCATTATTTGTGTTTTGCAGCCACCCAAATTCAGCTGGATTGGAGTCAGCAAAGAAACTTACGGAGAGTCTGCTGGAAACTGTAAGTTCCTGATAATGTTGACACAAACAAAGGTGTGAGTTTAACTGAATGAGTGCCTAATGGGAGGTTAAAGAAGGTGAAACTATTAAAGCATATAGTTCTTACTGATACCCACCTCCTAAAATAAAAGTGGTAGTGAGAACCACCTGATCTCCAGAGATAGATTACGAGTGCTCTGCACCTACCCACAATGCAACTGTTAAAATCAATCAATGCAGCCTTTGTTGATTGCTATCTCCCTCCTTCAATATATTTGTCTCTCTCTCTCCAGGTGAGACAGGAAAATGCCCGTATGGCGTCGATGTACAGCGCCACCAGTTCAACACAACGTGAGTATTCCTTTATTCCTCGTAACTAATTCCAACAGGGTGACCCAATATCAGGTACTAGCTGACTGCATCCATCTTGTTAATAATCATCGTGTGACATCTGTAGTGGCTCAATAAGTTACAAATAGAACTTAACTGTCAAGAACACCGTTATTGGTTCATGTTATATATGCTATTAACTCCACGTTCTATACTTTCATTTCAGCATACGCAGCACATGGATTTCAACCTAATAGCAATTACTCTAGCCAGGGGTCCTGGTATAACTACCCAGCAAATGGGTATGCTGGCGGCTATTCAGCGTACTCAGGAGCCAGTGGTTATTGGAGTAATGCAAATGGTCCCCCAAGTCATTCTAACATGTCGACAAACCCTCCATCTTCTCAGGCAATGGTTCAGTATCCTGTGTGTCCTAGGAAACCAAATCCCTATCTCGACCAGGTAATTGCTAAGGCTTCAGCAGCTGTGTATTTCTATATATTTTTGTATTATTTAACCTATAAAATGCTTGACTTTAAATCTGTACAGCCTTGAAAGGTAGACCCTCCAGAAAAACGCGGGCAAAAATCCTTGATTATGCGGGCTAAAATCCTTGATTATGCGATTAAACATGCGGGGTTTTTATGTGATTTTATGCGGTGAAATTGCGGAAAGTTGCTAAATATGGGGGGGAAAAGAATAACAATTTTTTTAAATATTGGGCTGTCTTATTTATTCTCTCTCACACAAAACCTGCCACTAACGTTAAGCCCCTTTACTATTCAATTAAACACATTCAATGTTTATTTATTGTAAAAGCAATTGGGCTATTTTAATCACACACACACACACACACTTCTCCGCCTCATTCTGTTTTCATTTACTCGTTCGTTATCTGACCAGCTTCAATCTTGTAGGCTACTCACTTTGTTTCTTGTAGCCCTCGAAAGGGTTTTGGAGGTTGATCCCTCAGTGAGCGTAAGTTGTTTGGCTTTCTTGTCCTCAGCAGCAGAAAGCATTTTCGAATGTTTGAATGAATCAAAGTGGGTCGTCACCGTCGATTTTCTCTTATGCTCCAACACACAGTTGCACGGGGTGCAGAATAGTTTCCCCCCACTTTTTGCCCGGTCTTTAGTAGAAATGTTCGTCGGTAAATGAGATGGATTAGATTTTTTCTTCTTCGTGTAGAGCTCCACACGTTCACTCTATACAGTGTTGTTTACATTCTGTGATGCGCGAGCTGATGACTTCACGTCAAGACGAGTTAACTTTTTTTCCCTCAACTTTGTGTGGAAAAATGCGGGGATTATGCGGCCTTTTGATAAATATGCGGCCTTTTAAAAATCTGCGCCATTTTGCTGATTATGCGGTAAATTCTGCGATCGCAGAATGGCGTTTTCTTGGA